ATGTCGATGAACCTATTTATATTATTCCGATCATAGCTTTGGTGAGTCAAGGAGAATTATTTTACCCTCCTTGGGGCTGACCCCGGTCTAGCGCCGAAAATCGCCCAAATGGCGACTTGTGATTTTTGTAAATTTATGGTCGCCAGAGCGAGTTAAAAATCGCCCAATTTGTGATAAATCGCCCAATCTGGCAACACTGCTGGCATAAGCCACCAACCTAACAAAAAAAAGACGAGTCCAGATAAAAAAAATGAACTGTAGTAGGGAGTAATGTCATAGGAAGGAATTTATGTCATTGAATATTAACAATTGTAATACAATCGGCGTATTATAAACCACTCGATAAAAACACTTTTTTTTACAAAAGGTATTTTTTTTAATTTGTAAAAATTTATGATTAAAAATTTTGATTTTTCTTAAAACAAACTGTACCGTAAACTGTAACGATATAAAAATTCAATTTAACAATCGTGTTAAGATCAGCACTTAAGGTTGGTTTGTTTCCATAACTAGCTCTATTAGAACTGAATTATTTTATAAATTATGTTTTTTTCTCATATGCTTAGTACTTTAAAAACTACGTCAACAGGAAGGCCTTCCCGGTCTTCCAGCTGGACAAAATGTCACTTTTCTTATGGGGTAACCTCAAGGCGCGTGTTTTTAACTACAGACCTAGAACATTGTGTCAGGCTTTAACCAAGATTTAGGAGTCTTTTGAAAAAGTTATTATTATTTATACATGAACAACCCAATTATGACGTTCAAAGTTCCGTGTCCGCCACAGTACCGTAAACACGGGTGACTTTGCACCCCGCGGGTGACTTTAACCCATTTATGAAAAAAAAAATCGCGCTCGATAAAATTAACATTTATAATTTGTTGGTCTACACCTGTCAATTGAGCGATTCTATTGAGTTTATATTACAGGAAAATCATTGTTTTAAAGAAATAAATGGGATTTATTACACTTTAAAATTGTATATATCGCATCAGTGCAAATCTCTTAAAAATACACGCGTTACAATTTCTATATTATACGCGATTATGATCCTTGGTTAACTACAGGTCGATTTTTTATTTTTTTTATCGGTAATCCCTTGCAATAGATATATGTCGCTGCTAACACGTGTCTAATAAAAATAAAATATAATATTGATTTCTTTTTATACGGAAAATACACTGTGAGACAAAGTAACCCGCAACCAGGGGGTAACTTTGCACACCCAGTTTTTAATTTTTATTTTTGAAACTCAGCCCTATGTAATATTATAACATAGTTATTATGAAAGAGCAACTCAAGACTCAAATTTTGGTATACAAAATTTAATGTTTATGATTGTTAAAACCACAAAAATTTTAAGCTCAAGTTTGAAAGTGAGCTAAAGCCACCCGTGTTTACGGTACCATGAAAGCAAGTCAAACACACCCTATTCGTTGCAAAAAGTTATAATTGTTATAGTTGTTACACCTTGTGAAATTAACAAGTGAAAGGTATCATTTTATAAGAACTTTTATTCGTATTTTATTTTACCATAACCAAATAAAACATATCTGAATAATTCCGAAGATTATTTTTTATCGCTATAGGTACCACTTTGCTGCTTTTTATTAAGTCAGAATAACTCTTCCAGAAAACTCCCAAATCTTGCCATTAGTTTGACTTGCTAAGTGTGTGTGTTGAGTGTTTTTAAAATAAAACTTTTAAATATTACATTTTCTTTATTTTTTAGAAAAAAAATCCACAAGGGTTTTTTTGTTGGTTAATCATTTTTTGCATTTAACTGTAACAAAATTTAAAACGTGTTTGCTCGAAACCACGTAAAAACGCGTAAAATATCACATAACTGCTTTTTACTGAGCGTATTTTTTTAATTATCCTAGTCTACTGCACAACATCTTTAAAAAGTTTTTTTGATAATTTACTGTTTTCGTTTGGCAACGTAAATCATCTAACGGCTTTATCACATAATTTTTAAAATTTCAGAAAATTCCCTTTGGTTAAGTAGAAACCTTCTATTAAATTAAGTTACTCTTATTATTAAACTTATACCTTTCTGATACTATTTTAGTGGTGTTATCTGCATGACAATTCGTAGTTTTGATTGGACCGTATGGACAAGTATCCGAGTCAGTTCTCCCATAATTCGCACTTAATATGTTTACTGTACCCACTTGGCATAAAAGACTTAAACTTTGTGCACTACAAACGGTTTGAACTAAAACAAAAACATAATTATATAATATGTATGTTTATAATATAATAATTATATAAAATACAAAAATATATTTTTTTAAATCACTTATGTACTACGAATATTTCATATTTGTTCTTTTGAAAAGAAAGTCTTGTTTTTTAATTTTTACTACTAAAAAAATTTAGGAAAAAATTATTATTATATACATAAATACATATAAACATATTATGTATAGTGGCGTTAAAGCATTTTAGTTTTAGATAAGTAATAATTATAGCCGTCATTTACCTTGTGGAATAGTATCACAACCAGCGGGATATGGAGCTATAACAAATATTTTATTTAGTCCTGAGGATCACAAAAAATATAACTCAGACTTACTTTCACAGCAGTACTTGATCTCCAAATACTTATTGACATTAGGACATGGATCACCAAAAACATCATTACTAGCCCTTACAGTGCATTCATTTTTCCCGGAACAACTAAAATCAATTCAGAAGAATTTTAGGAATTCTAAAATTTGTAATTTTTATTACACGTGTTCTAAAATACAATGGGTGCTTATATCAACGCATGAAGTATTCTGAGACTGTCCTACACATATATCAGTCCTAGTTCTGCCATATGTGGCACTTGATATTTTAACTACAGTATTTTTTGGGCATGATAATACCAATTTATCATTTTCGCAAGCAAGTTTGGCTAAAATAAAATTGACAAGCCACAAATAACAAATCCAAATATATTCTTACTATATATTGTTGAAGAAGAAGCACAAGCGCCCAGTTGAATAGCTCTGGTCAAGTTAAAAACTAAAATATTTAATACAATAAGTTAAAAGAATATTTTAAAACAAAAACAAAAAATAACTACCAAAGCCGAAAAGTAGAAGTATTAGTGAAATTGACATTTTCATTTTTATAAAATAATTAACAATAAACTTGATACAGAAATGTGTGGTAATATATACATGCCCTATAAATTCTTAACAAATAAACTTATAAATTCTTAACATAAAAATGGTATGTATTTATTTATAAATAAACATATATGTAGATTTATATGATTTTTACCTGCACTACATTACCTAATGTAAACAATTTAGGATGCAATCGACATACTTAAGTAATATTTTTGCATTAATATTAACTCGTACAATAATTTTTCTTGACATGGTTTAATTGTAAAGTACGGAAAATACAGAAATGATAAGCAAACTACTCGGGGATTCCTGAATGTAATTAAGGAAAAATTTTGATAAATATACTTATTTACGAGTCCCTTAACAAAATCGCTTTATATACCTCGGACGCGTTTATTGGTAAACCCTGTTATTTGCTATAACATATAGCAATAGCATACCTATAAGTATGTATACTTAAGGGCTCACCAATAATGACATAAGGGGACATCCATTAATTACGTGAGACAAAAATGGGGGGGGTCCAGCAAAATCTCGCCAAATCTCATTTTAAGGGAGGGGGGGGGCTCATTTAAAATCTCACGTCAACTTTTGAATTTAAAAAATATGTATCATAATTTAAATTTATAAAAAAAAATTAATACCTAATTTTTTTTACATGTTGTCCGCAAAGAAAGATGGCTAAATTATCACGTAAGGGATAGGGGGGTCTAGCACAACTCACCAAATCTCACCAGGGTAAAGGGAGTCCAAATTATCATATGTCCCCTAACTACATGCACAATGTTTAAAAAAAATTGTTTCGACATTCGCTGTTATTTCTGTTTATACTTTGCTTTAAACCTTAGGTAATTACCTTAAGGTTTAAATAGTTTCGCTATTAAAACAAGTTTTGCCATAGAAACTTATTATCGAAATTCGTTTTGTTAAAAGGCAAAATCGCCATTATAGGAGTGAATCCAATCCACAAGCGATACACGAGGCCTTTGTATTGTGTTTGGACAACATGTAAAAAAAATGATTAATTTTTTTTAACAAATTTGAATAATAATACATATTTTTTAAACTCAAAGGTTGACTTGAGATTTTTAATGACCCCCCCCCCTACCTTAAAATGAGCTTTGGTGAGATTTTGCTGGACCCCACCATTTTTGTCTCACGTAATTGAGGGATGTCCCCTTAGTAATCTACATATGTTTATTTCTTTAGGATGGGTTTCGTTTGCTTAGTGTTTATCAGAACTTAAGTGATTAATGGCTTCTTATGTGCCCTTATGTTTATAGTTTTTTGACTGGTTGATTTTTATTTGAACTGTTTGCGACTAATTACTTTACCTGGTGGATTCTTTGTTATTGCGGATTTTGTATTAAAATTAGTATTATTATTTGGGAATTATATGGTCATGCAATTTTGGTAATTTTTACTTATCTTATTTATGTAGACTTGAATTGCCAGGTAGATGTGATGTAATTGTTCCTTAACCCCGACTGCCCACTTTAGCACGTGTGGTAGTCCAGGAGATTATTCGTTGAAACTGATCGTCTCACTGACACCTTTTATCCAGGTAAAACACTTGAGAACTTAATTCAGGAGGAGGTACCATACGCAATTTGCACTGATTTTGCACTTGGATTTTTTGAACAACTTTAGCGGTGATGGAACTATGGAAGTACGATCGCGTTAAGGGAGCCCTTAACGCCCAACTGAATTTTAAAAATTTGATTTGCTATTAAAATTTAAACAGGTTAATATATATTTTTAAAAAAGCATATAAATAACATTTATACTTATGAATAATAACCTACAAACTATATTAAAAATAATTTTAAAGTAAGTAACATTTAAACTGGCAATATAAAAAATGTTTTTTCTTAAAATACTTAAAAAAGCGGGTTTTTGCCTCTTCCTCCGCGGCTGCCCCGTCCGCCTCTGGAGCCTTTACCGCCTCTAGATCCTTTTCCACCTCTGGAACCCGGTCCTGTAAGCGGCCTTGATCCAGATGAATTTAGAGTTGACACCGATGGTTTCACATCATCATCGTCATCGGAAATTAAAGATTCATCGCTGTTTTTGCTACCCTTTCTGCGATTATTTTGACGTTTTATGTCATTAAGGATGTTGGCAGCCTACAAAAGTTATCGTTTGTTATTAAAATTTTCTACGTCTCCAGAAATATAAAAGAAAAGCAACTTTTGATATTATTATGATCCACATTTTCAGTCAGTAGAGAAGAAGCGATCAAGAGGGAATCGATTAAACAAGAGTGTTCTAGAATGCATTACAAGCGACAGTTAGTGGAAAATGATTTTTTGATTTTTTTTTTTAGTATACGAGCCCTAACCACATAATGTTCGGACACTTCATAATTTATACAGAAATTTTTTTCGTGAATACTATCTCAAAATTATTAGAAGTTATGAAAAATTCAGCTTATTTTGGCATATACCCCTCGAAGCGATTTTTATTTTTAAAAGTTTACCTTTTATTTTTAGCTTTTAAAAAAAGGCTAACTTTTTAACTTTTTTTTGTATGAGTAAAAAAAGTTATAAATAGACCCATTAAAAAGAGCATAAAATATTATACAAACCCTGAAAATTTGGTAAAAAATAAATAAGTTATAAAAAAGTATAAGTAATTTAAAAATGCTATTTTTAAAGAGTTTTTGCAATTTTCTTAGGAAACGGGAGATTTTGCAGATATATATATCGCTATAACTTTCTTATTATTTATACAATTTTTACCAAATTTTCAGGGTTTGTATAATATTTTATGTTCTTTTTAATGGGCCCATTTATAACTTTTTTTACTCATGCAAAAAAAAGTTAAAAAGTTAGCCTTTTTTTAAAAGCTAAAAATAAAAGGTAAACTTTTTAAAAATAAAAATCGCTTCGAGGGGTATATGCCAAAATAAGCTGAATTTTTCATAACTTCTAATAATTTTGAGATAGTATTCACGAAAAAAATTTCTGTATAAATTATGAAGTGTCCGAACATTATGTGGTTAGGGCTCGTAGTTGAATTTAAGTGTGTAGAATATATTAGACATATACTAGGGTGCCCGTTATTTCTTAACTTATTTTTTTTAACTTGGGTATCATCTAAATTATTTTTGTACAATAGACTGGGCCAAAAAAATTAACTATTTTTTTTTGAAAAGTATATCAAAAATATGGTTTGGGGTGACAAAAAAAATTATTGTGAAAGTTTGAGTCCATAATATTAATATTAAGAGGTCTATCATCGCAATTTTAATTTTTTTTTTCCTCAGCAAGTTTTTGTCTCAGAACTCCCAAACCATTGAGTTTAACAAAATTGACTTAAAAATATTTTTTTAAGAAAATTAAATGCTCTACAAAAAAGGTTAAAGTGAAATTTTCCGTCAGATGAACTGTTTCCTTAAAATCATGCCTTAAAAATTGGTATAGTTTTACATTTTGATCTTTTAAATTGGAATTTTGTAATTTATGTAAAAATCAGTACTCATAAAAAACCGATAAATATTCTTATGGGAAATCAAATACCTTACAAAAAAAGCCACTCAACATTTTTGGCTAAATTCACTCAATCAAAAGTTATTTAAGGTTAAAATTTGGTTTTGACTTCAAATGAAACCTTAAATAACTTTTGATGGAGTGAATTTAGCCAAAAATGATAAAAGACTTTTTTTGTACAGCATTTGATTTCCCATAAGAATATTTATAGTTTTTTTTTTCGGGAACTGAATTACATGAATTACAAAATTCCAAAGTTAAAAGATATAATTGTAAAACTATACAAATTTTTAAGGCATGATTGTAAGAAAAAGGTTAAAGCATTCAATTTTCTTCTTCTCAATGGTTTGGGAGTTCTAAAACAAAAACTCACTCAGGAAAAAAAAATCTAAAATTGCTCTTAATATTAATATTATGGACTCAAACTTTCACCATAATTTTTTTTGTCACCCCAAACAATATTTTCGATATACTTTACAAAAAAAAAATAGTCGATTTTTTTGGCCCAGTCTATTGTACAATCTAACAACAATTTTGAAAAAAAAAGTATATTTTTAACCATGATGATACTTTTTTAATTTAAAGACGTAAGAAAAAATCATCATTCGATAATAAATAAACAAGCAACAATACACAAGACATATTATTGTAGAAAATTTGATACCCAAGTAAAAACAATCTACGGACAACATAATATACAGTGTCCAAAGTTGGTTGTTCGAAATATTCACAAAAATAACATTTTAGGTATATTTTTACGTATTTTAAATGATAATTTAATTTGGAACAAAAAGTTATTATTGCATAACTATAGTTAGGGTATAGTTAGGTTACACTCTAAACATAAAAATAAACAATTTATAAGCACTTAACCTTTCTTAACTATTGTTAAAATAAACTACCTAATTTGGTTATAGCCAATTAGGAAATAAATTTTAAAAACCATCAGAAAGTGCTTAGGAATTGTATCTTTTAAAGTTTAGGGTAATTATGCAACAATAATTTTTGGTTCCAAATTAAATTGTTTTATTAATATGTAAAAATATACAGGGTATCCCATTTTTGTGAACATTTCGGAAACGCGACGTTTAATTGGTTTTCTGTTTTCACCATTTTATTCAGAAGAAAAATTGCCACTAATTTGCTAATTTAATCGATTTTTTATCTCCAATAATAAGCTTCATTCAACGCTAATAGCAATACCACCAAACAAAAAACAAATCGTCGGCCGATAATAGGAAAAATGTTGGCAATTAATTTAGCCGATATATCGACTAGACAACGTCCGTAATACGTCGAACCAACATTGTTTTTTATTAGTCGTTTTCCGGAATTACACCGATTTTCGGTTAAATGTCTAAAAACAATGACCGGTAAGCTAACGTCGGTAAAACGTTGATTTAATTTAAATAATTATTATTGTATAAATTTTTAATAAAATAAAATAAAAAAACAATTTTATTAATTTTAAACAAACTAAATAATGAAATAATTAAAAATAAATAAATAATTATTGGAAAGCTAACAACAAATTTGAAATTTAGTCGGTAACTTTAATTGTAACGGTTATTTATGGCCTTTGTGTGGTCATTTATAAAAGTGACGCCCAACACTGGTTTGATGTTTAGCTTTTTGCACTGAATAATTAATTTTATTTATTCAAAAGACAAATTATACCATTTAGCCTTCTTTTAAAAACAATTGTAATCACTTAACATTATAACATTATTAGAAAAAAGTGACCAAATTCCATATTCTATATAAAGCACGATACTTCAGGGAAAACACATATTTGTAATATACATATGTATATTATATACTATAGTATCCAAATACAGGGAGTTATGTAATTAATTTAATATATTTAAATACTGAATACCTTTTGACATAAGGTGTAACGGAATAGTATACTCTGTAACAAGTTTGGAATACAGCATATTCCGCTCGAGTGAAGAGTTTGTCACACGAGCCGAAGGCGAGTTTGACGGTTTCACGAGAGCGGAATATGCAATTCCAAACGTGTTTCAGACTATACTTTTTCTACTATTCCAAAAAATACCATAGAAAAATAATTTAATTGGAAGAAAGTGAGGTTGGATCGGTCTAAAATTTGTTAGATATTAAAAACAGAGATGTCGCCACAAGTTATTACTTATTAATAATTGAATAATTATTCTGTCATCCGATGATAGAATATTTCATTATGTAACACTTTACGGAATATATGTCATTCTAGGTGAAATTCCGTAATAGGAGAAAAAAAAAATTCCCAAAGATAAATAAAAAATATGGATTTGAATTTTTTTATATTTTTTGTGAAACGCCACTGGTTACACACTTGGTTAATCTCTGCACACTCGTGTTCTGTGAGTACATAGATACCACATAGATACCAACCAACAAAGTAGCTGCGAGTTGCTAGCTGTAAAAAATTGTTACAAAAAATAAATAAAAACTTAATAAATACATAAGTTTTAAGCCCTTAAAGCTCTAACACCCTTCTGTATTCATTTAATCATCCAGCTATTAGCTTAAGCAATGATTAGAAAATTTAGTACCTATTTTAAAAACTCCATAACCACAAAATTAATTTTTGCATCGTTTTTTTCCTTCAGTTTACTCAGATGAAATTAGGAAAAGTTCACAGGTCACAAAATTCTGTCATAAAAGTTGTCAGGTTTTGTTAGAATTTACCTTCATTACAATATTGACATGATCAACAATTAATAAAAACGCCACATTAACAATTTGCATTGTTGTTTTTGTAATTTTTGTAATTAAGCTAAATTTAAACAAAATCTGGCAACTTTTTTGACAGAATTTGGAAACGCTGGTTGTTACCAACTGTTATGTCAGGACTTTATAGGAGAGTTAATATCTCTGCGATATTCCTAAACCTACAAGAGCAAGTTGGCTGGAGGGTTTTTGACACAAAAAAGATCTGACAGAACATAATCTGGTATTTAATAGTTAGATAAAAGTTAATAATAAAGCAAGTATACAGAAACCAGCATCTTATTTATATAAAAGAACCCAACATAACACCAACCATAATATAATAAATTAAATTAGGAAACCAGATTAGCCTAAAGTTCCTAGTCGATCAGTGACGTACTTTTTAGTAGGATAAAGGTTATTATAAATAATTTTTAGAATAAAAAAATTGTTTAAGGTGCTTCTTTGTGGACCCTAAGGAACTACCCTTTTTAATATAATACATTAATTACATAACACCCTGTATAAAATACCATAATTTCTCTAGAACAAACAGTTGAAAAGGCAAAACAATGATTGATGCTGTGACAGAAGGTTTTTATTTTTTAGGCGATAGAAAATTTCTTAAGATGAGGTAGTATTTGTTAATTAGGTAAATATAATACTGTGATTTTATGTTTAGCATGTTGTATTTATCTTTGTTTTTTCATTTGGAATATAGTTTGGAAGTTTGATTTTTACTACAAAATTGTTTTGATGTATAATGTGTTGTTTATTTTCAGAATGTTTCGATAGTATGACTATAGCTATAAAAAAAGGTCCGAAAACAAAAAAAAAATTGATTATGGCTCATGATTGCGCGGACACTCGCACTGGGGCCCTATACTCGAGATCGTGAGAAGTGAGAAATCACTTCTCTCGAGCGATAGATCACATCACACCAGCATCGCATGACCCGTAAAATGTGTATTCTCAAAGTTATGGGATGTGAGCTTTCGTCTACGATACGCTATGCGCTGTTGACATATCTACCAACCAATCGTATTATAGGGTTTCTGCACGTGACTTTGTTTATTTCTCGTTTTGACAATTGCAGTGTTTGCAGGTTATTTGCGATTGTGCGATAGTGATTGTTCACAGATTTAGTTTTAGTCAGGGTAAAGCAATTATAATTATACTTATAAGTAAGTCTTTCTACTATGGTTTTTGTTATATTCGGTTTATTTTGTTGCAAAATACAATATAATATATTATATTGATACGTTATGGTATTTTGTAAATGTAAATACCCTATAGTGGGGTTACTTTGCACCTGCACGTCGGTTTTTATCATAAATATCGCCAAATGTGCATATTTTACACACAGTTCAACTTCTTATTTAGTAAATCAATCACAAGTCGTACAAGCTCTTTAGTCAAACGAAAAAATCTTACAAATTTATCGTCGGACAATAAAAATGGATTTTGCCTGGGTAAAAAGGCTCTATTAGGTCGATCTACTTGCTCTTCAGCGTCAGCAACATCATCAATTACATGAAGCAACGCAATGTCTTCAAAATTCATCTTATAATAATTATAATTATTACTAGTGTCAAAAAATATAAATAACCAGAAATATTTTTAGGTTATATTTTTCACACGATCGACGCGTTCTCCTACTAAGGATCAAGCGATGTTCCCTTCTCTTGATATTGTGGGATGGGATCAGTCACATTTTTGGAGAATACGCAATTTTATATTTTGACATGATATCGGCAAGCTCCGCCCACTTTCTCACGATATGACCACATCGCACGATTCGAGTATAACCACCCTGATTACAAGCAAGATTAAAAGTATTTATTTTCATTTTTTACTAAAAAAAGTCAAATGGTATTCCATATTTGGTCACTCTTCTTTATTATTAAAACATTAACATTTATATTTACCTCCTCTATATCCCTATTATCTATCTCCTTGCTTCTAACATATTCCTCTACAAATACCTCAATATCATTAGAGTCTGGATCTTCTTTAATCATTTTGTCTAAAAGTTGTTTTTTTTGGAACCTAAATAAAGCTTTATTAATATCAACTCATACAGGGTGTCTTTAAATTCTCTTTCAAAAAACCTTATACTGTAGCGTGTTGCTCGCCATTAAACATAAATCTTATACAAAATAACTTCATACAGGACATAAAGGGTTTTTTCTTATTACCATAGTTTCTACAATTTAAGGCTTTATGACAGAAAACCTGGTTTAGATAAAAATCACTTACTCAACATAATCAATAATGGCATCATTATCACTTGCATCAATAAATTTTGTAACAGCCTCTGTTAGGCCCTTAACAGGCAACAAACTTAACTTTTCAGTTTCAAAATATTTGAGTACAATGTCTTCCACTCTGGTGGCCCATTCTTCCATCTAAATTTAGGTTAAAAAATGTGAAATCTATATTTTAAATGTATTTTTGCTTATTTAAAAGAACAGTAACACAACCCAAATTTCTTCAAATATTATGTTAAACGAAAAATAATCGGAAAGTCTTGAATAATAATGAAATAACGAAACATTTATTTAAACTGCAAATTAAATAGATGGTTTAAGACATAACAGGTGATAAATGTTTGTGTTTTGTTCTTTTAAATGATACTTATATTACGTACATCTTCAAGTGAGCAAGTTCCTAAGGTAATTTTTTCGTTGGTGCCTTTACGAATTTTTTGTTTTGGCAATAGTTTTAATATGTCTTCCGGATTTGCCACTCTGTCTACAAACTTTTGACCAAATCTTATAGCGTTAAATGATGGCAGTTCATCTGTATACAACACCCTTAATCTAATTAGTGGCAAAAGATCCAAACTGCATTCTAAAATTTACAATATTAGAATTAATACCCATACAATTAAAAAAAAATACAAATATTTATTGATTTTAATGAAGTTGAACAATTTTTATTTTCCGATTTAAATAAAAAAATATTTATTTAAAAAATATTTTTTTTTCAAGCGGCCATGATATACGTTATATGCATGTATTTAGATAGTTGAAGTACGTCTTTTCATTAGCGGCAGACAAAAAACTCAAAAAAGCCTAGGGATAGAAGTAAATCCATAGGTGACTCAATAGACGTCAAATAATAAAATTAATTTAGCATTTCATACAAAGCAATCACGATGTATTAATTATATTAATTATAATCGCACGGAATATTTAGTGATTATTTATTAAATTTTAATTGAACGAAATAAAGAACAACTAGTTTATTAGTATAATATAATGATGATAAACGAGTCGCCAATGTCGGAACTCCAAACAAATGTCAGTACGTCAAAATTAATTCAAGCGCAGCATTTTGACAGAGCAGTGTTTATTTTTAGTTTAGGCATTGTTATCTATGGTTTAGGATATTTATCGGCATTGTAAGTAAGGGTTATAAGTTTTTTTACTTTTTATCAATAATTTGTAATGCTTTTAGCCAAAATTTTATACCACATGAGTTATAAGTAAATAAAATAATTCTATTGCTTATCCTATTTATATTACGCCCTTGAAAAAAAAATTGTATATGTTATTTGGAGTAGAAGCTCTTTTTGTGCTTCGTACAGTTGCCTGCCTCAGCTACGCTTCGGCCGTCAATCTCTGTACTCACCACAAAAAGAGCCACTTCTACTCCTTATGACATAATCTACTATTTGTTCTGTATACAGACTGTCAGCAAAATGGCGCACTGACGGTATTTGTTATAGGAGGATTTTTTAAGTAAGAAAAAATTACAAAAAAAATCAAACATATAAGTAGTCATTGTGTATTTATTTTTAACACTAATAGCGGAAATTCATAAATCGTCGCCGTAGAAGTCAAGGGAGTATAGCCACAAATTTGAAAAACCTATTGATTTAGGTATTAATTTTTAATACCTAGGTATTAAAAATTGTATAAGCTTATACAATATATTATACATGTATAACATAACGTACATTGTCATCAGTCACGTTCGAACACTTGACTTAACCCACAAATAATTACTCATAAAGTTCAAATAAACTATAATTATATGTTTATTTTTTTTACTAGTGTTTAAGCGAAAAGTGCCTCACTTAGGGTTTTTAAAGGTACCTGTTGTGTTTAGTGTTGCAAATTATGTATTAGGTCAGTTAACCAAGATTACTCATCGGATTTTGCAGATGGCCCAGTCTTCCCTGGGTTAGCCTCTTTTGTTTGTCTCGTTAAGAGCATCCAATTGACAGGTGGTTAGACCCCCCGGTAAGCTGTAACTTCTCATTTAACACTTCTCTGACCGTAGGGTGGTCTTTAATCACTGTAGTTGTTACATTAATGGCTAACCAAGGGAAGAAAGGGCCATCTGCAAAATCCGATGAGTAATCTTGGTTAACTGCATGACCTTATACATAATTTGCAACACTAAACACAACAGGTACCTAAGTGAGGCACTTTTCGCTTAAACACTAGTAAAAAAAATAAACAAAGTGCAACAGAAACATTAGTAAGACAATGGTAACAAAACAACAAGAAAAACAAAAAAAAACAAATCAAAGCCGCCCCAATTCTTTCCGCGGTCATTCAAATTAAAGCTGAGTAGGACAATAATTCTATCAATAACAAACGAGTAAGTCACTAAACCCATTAATTTAAGAGGACGACCCCAACAAAATAAAGTGTTTAAACTAAACCAAAAATAAACATTTGACACTTCTAAACGAACATACAATAAATTAAGAAAACCTAAACACAAAACACACAAACCGAATTCTAATGAATTAGGTATTGTAGGTACTGCAGCGAAGTAGACGAAACTACCGAGCATATAGTCTGCGAATGCGACGCTTTAGTCAATAGTAGACTAAGCCACCTAGGGGACAGATATTTGGAACCAGAGGAAATAATGCATACCCGACCAGAGCAGGTCTGCGCTTTTCTTAAAAGCTGCGGGCTCGTAAGGTAAGGCAGGGCTTCACCGAAAAGGGGTTTGCACAATGGGCCGTATGTATGCCTACGTATGCCTCCTCATCAAATCAAATCAAACTGCAATAACGCCCAATTGGTGAACGTTTTCCGCAAACCATGGTCGGTAGGCTTGAGAACAATTTTATAAGGATGTACGCCTAAATCTTTTTTTAAAATTCGCCACGTAGACATCGATGAAAGGTTTATGTTATGTTTATGTTAGACAAAGTTCAGAAATTGGTTTAGAGTGTAAACATACTTAAGATTTATGGGTTTATTAGTCCTTTGGTCGGATGCTTGTTTTTAATTTCAAGTCGAACTTGCTTTGCTGAATATGCATAAGGTATTCTTTGGTCAATTAAGATATTGGTGTATTTCCTGTTCACCTCTTTTAATGTTTTTTATGTATTAGGTATAAACCTGAAGGATTGGTAAGCTTGGTAAATTTCGTAATTTCGAGTTTTTAGTATTGCAAATGGCGTCGTGCAAATATTATTAAAATACTTTCAGTTTCCCGCCACAATGAACCACCTTTGGGTGGTGGCAGTTACTTTATGCACTTTAGTCCTGGTCAGTGAGGAGTTTATGCAAATTGGGATTAGCAGAACTATACACTGTTGAACCAAACCTTATACAATAATTACCTTTAAGGTATTCTGGATTTAAAACGGACTGTTTATTCTATCTCGTTTGTGGAGCGATAGAGATATACGTCTTTCGGGAACAAGTGATACTTTCTTACTGTGTCTTTTTTCTTTTTCAATTTAACAAGAAATATGAATACAAAAATAAATGTTTCTTCGAAAATACATTATTTTATCTCAAACCGTTTCAGAAATAATAATAATAAAACATCTTTAGGTGCGCCGCTTTAAAACAGTGTAGGTCCATTAGGGGCCATTTGCTGTTCATGTTCATATAAAGTTTTATTCCTATTTTTGGCACTAAAAACCGCATGTAGAGTATTGCACACTATTTTCGGGACACCCTGTATATATGGCGACGAAATGAATACTATATACTAGATAGTAAGATTTTATATTAATAACACTTAGGGTTGCCACCTCCCCGGGTTTGACCCAAAGTCTCCGGGTTTGGGCATAGTGTCTCTGGGCTCCGGGTCACATGTTAAAATATTTTAGCATTAAAATGTATCAACAAATTATAAAAATTTACTACTTCTGCCTTAAAACCAGCTATATACCATTAGAATGGAAGAAATGTACAATAATCACAATCCCTAAACCAAACCTGGACCATACAAAGATAAAAAACTACCGGCACATTACACTACTTCCCAATATTGGCAAGAACAATTTTAAGAAAATAAAGCCAAAATTCCCCCTTTGATAATATTAGGCAACAACGTCCAAGCAACAAAAATTAGAGGTCACAAAACAGCTGCTCTATTTTTGGATAAAAACAAAGCAATTGACATTGTATGGCACAAAGGACTGATATAATAAGCTAATTAAACTTGAATGTTCTCACTGGCTTATCAAAATAATCCAAGAATTTTTGGTAGACAGAGAAATCATTATAAAAGTCAATGAGCGCACAAAGAAAAAAACACCCAAACAGGAACACCACTATCTCCTATTTTATAACATCTACTGTAACGAAATATACAATAAAGACCCAAAACATTTTAACTTCGACAAATATGTGCTACAATACGCCGATGACACTACAATAGTAGCTCACGGAAAAACTAAGAATGAGGCCTTAGCACGGCTACAAAATTTGACGGACAAAGTATGCTTTGCTTCAACAAATGGAGACTCAGACCTTACCCTAACAAATCACAACTCATAACAAAGGTTAAAAAAATATACCCGTGTATCTCCGTTTCACGAAATCACGTCATTTAAATTTTTTATACAGCCATTCTTATTATTTTAACCTATACAGATTTGTAACTCTCTATTTTGTTATAAATCATTTTTTTTTCTGTAAATATTGTATGTTTTTACATAATACAAAAGTTATACTTAAAGAAAATAATATTTTAAATTTTTTTAAGTAAAAAAAATATTTCTGGTTTTAATTTTTGATTTTTTTTTAATAAAACAACAGATCAGTATTTATCTTATATTAAATATATGTTGGAAACAAATCTTGATCTTTTAGTTTGACGATTATACATTGCTTTAGAATCCACAGTGGTATCACTACCTAAAAAACACCACTTGATATACGGGGTGTTTCACATTCGTGGTCCATTGGAAGTTTTAGGGGAACGGAAAAAGATATCGATTTGAAATTTAAAAGCGTTTATAATCTATTTAAGTCTTTTTTTTAATATTTTGAACAAAATGCCACTTCCTGTTTGACCGGAAGTGACATTAACTTTGTTAATTCTGAGTAAAATTACTATACATGTCCTATATTGGCTATTAGGTTTACGGATATGGGGGTAAAATGTTTGAAATCTTAAAACATTTAAAGGATTCCATGTCAATTCTTTAACATTTTTCAACAAATTATCCAAGAAAACCCAGGGCAAATTGGGCTAAATTAAACTAAATTAAAAACTTTTTTTTTAATGTAACACCCGGTATGTTTTACCTAATCAAATAGCAAAAAAACATTTTGATTAATGTAACTATTCCCTATACAAACGGCGTTCTCAATAGAGAACGCCCTGCTATACCTAAAGTTAAAAATTTCAGAGATACACTCCTCCAAGAAATTAACGCACCACCAAAAAATAACCAAAAGTTTTAAGTAAATTTTTGTCAAAACCAATTGTCCGATTTGAACGTTTTTTTTGTAATAATAGGTTGTCCCTTTCACAATGTTGGTATACTAACTGTGTTCCGATTTTTTACAAATACCGGTTGTAGCAATGAGCGTGTTTTTTTATAAGCCCTGTAGAGTTAAACAGCTACAATATCAAGT